AAACTGTGTATGTGTACTACAACATTTAGGAAATTAACACCGCTTTTGCTATTTAAAACTTAAAAGGACAATATGAAGTTCCAATATTAGCAATATAGTATGTCATAACTATAAATGAAAAAAGAAAATTAACCTTGAGCTATATTTGGTAAGTCTATTTACATTCAACAAACAGTCTTGTCAACTTTCTTCATACAAATAAAATATGGGGTTTTCTTCAAATAGGTTGTTGAAAACACAAATTACAACCTTGAGTAATGGATAGTCTATACACAGAGAATGAGGAATTGATTAGTGGTAGAAATTATGGCATCAAAGTTCTACTTGTGTCATGTCATTGCAGCTTATGTGTTTATTGTACGAAGGTATCGCAATACAGTCTTAGGAGTCTTCCGAAATAGTCCGTAGTTTAAATAATGCTGTCTACGATGAAGTTTTCGATAATTTATAAAATGTGTATTTATTAAACTTTTAATATGTATTATACTTTATTTGTTTGTGGGAACTCTTATTCGCGTGATAAAAATAATAATATGATCTATGCTTACATTTATATGTTAACATTTATATCGGCTTCGTTTGGAAACCGGCGTTTCAACCCCAATTCAGCGTGTTTGACCACTTCAGCTTTTGGCATGACTGAAACCGTTGTTTTTCTTGCGTTTGGCACACGGAGGTTAGCAGCAGCGTTTTGGACGAAACCGCCAAAAACGAAAACGCTGTAAATTGGAGCGTTTAGGTTTTGGCAGATTGAAACGATTATTGAATTCCACAGGTTGCCCTCATCTTCGTATTCGATCTGATTCGCTGCAGTCACTTGAAGCTTTCTGTTTCATTCGTTCTATGGCTTCTCTAATTTTTCTCTTGTGCGAGATGGATATCTACCGTATTGTTTCTCCGCATAAAAATAATGATGGACACTTATTAATTCAATTTGTTTTTTTGATGGACAGTAATTAATTCAATTTGTTTTTAGTTTCTCTATTTTGATTTCTACGCATATTGGTTTTGAGAAACAGGGGCTCACTTTTCGTAAAGTAATTTATATTATCATATTCTTATTTAGTTGATTTTAAATTTACTAACTAACATTTATTATGTATGTATAAATTAGTAGTACGTAGTATGTAGTATTAAATTTTATAATGTCCTTTTTGTCCTTTTATCTACTAACTGCTACAATAAAACAACTAATTCACCAAACATCTCTCTGCAACCCAACAAACTAATCCGCTGGTCAAATCCGCTGATCAAATCCGATATTTACTACCCGCTAATACCGCTAATCGCCGAGTGCCAAACATGCCCATCATCTTGCACATTTCATCCCGTGCAACGCACGAGTGGAATACTAGTATGTTTAATGAGACTTAAATGTACCATGTGTACACTTAAGTCTCTATTGATACATGGAATCTAGAGCTTTATAGGCTCTACATTCCATTAGTGTAAATCTTCAGTGTGTCACTAGTCTTAACATATTTCGATATATAGTAAAACACAAGATATGACTTGCATAGGGGACCAATTGCAACTCGAAATGAGATCATCCGATGTCGTATTCAAAATTTAAGTCAATCTTCGTGACTCGGTTGATTTAGTAAGCCTGAAAAACACTGGAGACACTTGTATGTTGTTTTCTATTCATATTTTGGACTTGAGTCGTGAACGAGAATTGTGTATATTTGCATAGGGGACCCATTGCAACTCGAAATGAGATCATCCGATGTCGTATTCAAAATTTAAACCAATCTTCGTGACTCGGTTGATTTAGTAAGCCTCAAAACACTGGAGACTTGTATGTTTTTTTCTATTCATAATTTGGACGAGTCGATTTAATGGGATTCAATCCTAATTAAATGAGGTACCTAATGTAAATTGTGTTATGTCAAACTATGGAGTATACATGTTGTACTGGGTTTGTATATGCGTCCCCATATAAAATATACATAATTTATAGGTTAAGTATATGGGAGTATTATCACGTTCTTATAACCGAGTCAATATTAGTGTATACACATGTTACTCGGGTATAGTATGACTATAAATTAATATTGGAGTACTAATGTGTTAGACGTTGAGAATCCATGATTAGGGAAATTTTGCATTGAGTTTATATCATGTAATTCATTAATGTATATGAGTAGTGTTGAATATCATAAAACACAGATACTTGACTATGAACACAATTCATATACTCAAAAATACATGTTTCTAATGTACTCATCTTAAATTGTATTACTAAATTGTGTTTTTGAGAATTATGAATTAATCGTATGATCTCATAAATATCCGAGTACGATGACTTCTTAATGGGACTCATATTCAACATATTAAAATGTCAACATAAATTTTAGAGTCTGAGAACACAACTTCCTATGTATTAACACCACGAGTTTAAATATCTTAAAAAGTATAACTATTAAGTCGGTATCTCAGTGATTGTATTATGACCTTATAGTATTCATATAGCCTAATATGTTAACATAGTCTTAATATCTGATAAAGTATAATTGACAAGTTAGATAAACTTGTATACAAGTCTCTAGTGTTTTCAGGCTTACTAAATCAACCGAGTCACGAAGATTGACTTAAATTTTGAATACGACATAGGATGATCTCATTTCGAGTTGCAATGGGTTCCCTACTATTCAAAATTGTTTCGAGTCACCGATTAATGGGATCGGAAATGGTCGTACGAATACTTTTGCAAGAAGGGAACCCATCGGCTAAATTATCGTAATGTAACCCTTTTAACAATGGGTTCCCCGTGTTTTACAATTCATCTGATGTCGTATTCAAAATTTAAGAGATCTCAAGGCTTATTGAATTGTTTATTTTTGCATAGGGAATTATTATTTTACTCGTGATAGGATACACTGTTTAACCAGTGTATCATTATATGGGCACTTAGTTACCATTATTTCATAGTAAAACCAAGTACTATGTGATACAATCTGTCTATAATCCGGACATAGCTAATTAATTTAGTCTATGTTAACGATAGTAGATAGTCCACTAATCGTGCACTCATTTCAATACCAATATGTTTTATACCTATGTATACAAATGAATATGTGTCAATAGGTACGTATTCAAATCATTATGAGAAAAATACACATACTGATTTGAATATGGATTTAGTACCATATATCTTAATTAAACTACACATATTCCATGTACACGCGGTGACATAGTGTACATGAGACTTGTGCATTATATAGTATACTGATATAATTATATAGTTTGTAGTGCATATATGTATGTTTTTATAATTATTTTGTGTGGATTGTTTATCATTTTTAGTCAGTTTGTAAGCATTTGTTTTCAGTTGTAACTGTTTTATTTTTACTTCCATTTATAGTTGTAGAATAGGGGTAGAGTTTTTGGCAAGGAAAAGGAGAAAAAGTCAGCAGGAATGCAACCCAAGGAGATCCACCCGACCGGGTAGAAATCTTCACCCGGTCGGGTCTGATTTAAAAACCGAAGCTCAGTGGAAAGAACTGGACCCGGTCGGGTCAACTATTTGACCCGGTTGGGTCTGACTTGACCCGGGACATTTTAACGTGCTAAAACACAAGAACGTGGAAGATTATCTGATTTAGACATGCACCCGGTCGGGTGGGCACTTGGCCCGGTCGGGTACCCGGGCCAAGGTGTTGAAAAACACCTATAAATAGCACACTTTTCCTTCACAAAAAATCATTCCTTCTTCCATACTCTTAAGCTCAGTTTAGAATAGTATTTCTTTTATATTTTTATAGCATGTTTAGTCTCCAAATGAGGAGCTAAACTCTTCCATCTTGGTTTTGCTACTTTGAAGCTTAATGAATTTGTAAGTTGTGAGTTATTCTCTTTAATCTTCTTCCTTGAATATTAATTCTTCTTTTAAATATTATTTCTATATCAATGTTGGGGAGTGTTACTAAGATGACAATTAGTTAACATCTTGACATTAGTTATAGTAATAGCTATTTCTTCCTCTATGTTAATATTGGGGAGTGTTACTAAGATGACAATTAGTTAACATCTTGATATTAACTATAGTAGGATTCATCTTCTTTAATATTCTTTCTTGAGTATTAATTAATTCCTATTCATATTCCATATTAATATCTTGAGCATTACTTAAAGGATCAACTAGTTTTGTTTCATATATTAATTATTACTAGAATCAATCGGTTAATACGCTTGTTATTAATTCGGTTCTTTCAATGGTAGTAAACTTGGATTGTTAATGCATGCTTCTCATGGTTAATAAGCCAAGAGGAATTAATTATATTGATTCAACCAATAAACCGCTTGTGTTGAGGTTATCAATCTCAATCGTTTTCATCTTAATTTTATTGCTACTATCGAGTGAATATACGACGCTTGTTCTATATTAACTCGGTAGTAAGTTTTATTAATGAACGCGTCTCGTTATTAATAACTACCCTCGATGAATTGGATATACTCCTCGATTGAGTATTCGAGAGGAAGATAGTTAAAGATATAACCGGGATCGACGAACATTTCATTAAGTGGATAAAAGCAAAATCAAATCTTCTTCTCATTAATTAAACCACATAATATAAGTCGTTCATCTTTGTGTTTAAATATAATTTAAGTTCATAAACCAATCACAAAAACCCCCTTGTTACCGGCCGGCCAGTTTCTCCGTTGGGCTCACCCTCCGAGAGTCCGAGTCTGATCGATATTTAACCCGGTCACTTGTTCGTGTCGCCATCCCTTAGCTTCCGATTTTGACAATATAAATACTAATTACAATAATTTATCATGGCAGCCAACATGCTTGCAAGAAATCGGTAGAATTATTAAAATATGAGATATATGGCGTGCGGAGTGGGCGTTGCTTATGATGAGCATAAAGTGTGGCGTAAAAGCTGAAGTTTAGTTTTAGTTTTATCTGCAAATTTGTGTTCATATTTCCCAGCATCCATGTGCCGTCTTCATAACGATCATCCCTTATATAAACACCACTACTGCTCCCATCCTTCATCACATTATAATTAATAAGTTCACATATTATATTCTGATTATTATTACTATTATTGTTATCATCATCATTATTATATTATTATTGTTGGTATTACTATATATTATAGTGTTTAATTATTCAAATAAATACACGAAATTGAAAATGAGACAACATTCCACGAGTTTGTTGCGTCTTGTATTGGTTTGTTTGGTTTGTATTTCTTCCCTCGTCAACTCAGAAAGCCCATATAGGTTCTACGACTTGGTTGTTGAGTATGGAACTATTGCTCCTCTACGCATCAACCAAGCGGTAATACATATCATTAATTCTATTATTAGTTGAGAAACTCGTTCAATAAAGTCACAAAATCTTAAAAATACACCACTCAACCTATTGAAATAAAACAATATATAATTCACTTTTATTAATTCATGTCGGTAATATATCATGAATAGGGGTGAACCCGGTCCACAATCCTAGACCAATCGGACCGAAACGGATAAGATCTTTTTTTGGTTCAGGTTTGGGATCACCACCTGTGCCGGGGCCACCAGCGCGGCAGCGCTGGTCCCAATTATGATACTTGGCATGGGGACCGCAACTATATGTACACTTGATCTAAACGTAGGGTATACGTACTAAAAATAAATTTCATTTACACTCGTACTGTCGTACAAACATAAATTATGAGGCCATTTGGCAATCCTCATTTTCGCCTTATCAAGCTTAATTATCAGCTAACTTTTTTACCAAACACGTAAATTTTGCTTTCACGTGCTGAATTGTTTAATAAGCTAGAAAAAGTAAGGTTGTAGTTACTTTTCTAGCTGTATTGACTGAAGTTACTGTAGATGACCATTTTAGCTATTGTTACATATAGTTTTTTTATTTATTTTATTAATAAAATATATTTTAAAAATATTTTTTTCTTATATCAGCAGAATCAGCCAATGCAGCCACTTCAGCCAGAACTTTATAAATTTCAGCAGAATCAACCAAAAGAGCCGATTTTCGTGCTACCAAACGGGCTCTATATTTCATCTAAACTTCATTTTACAACACAAATTGCTAATGCTACGACTACGTACTTGCGTTGTCCTGTGTTTTTCAAAATCAGGGGCGAAACTTTTTTATGGGCTTATTAATAAGCGTTATAAATTATACGGAGTATATACTTTTTTAACTAATGAAATTAGTATAATAGCATTATGTATAGAGTTATAATAAGTATTCTTCACGTATATACCACGTATAAGATTAACTTCTAATAACTTTTTCTGTAAATACTAAATAGTGTACAGTAAAAGTTACTCCGTACTTTGTACAAGTATATTTATTACATGCTACGTATAATAATTTTGTTTTAGATTAAAAAAACTTCAATTGTGAATTGACGATAGGATAAAGTAGAAAAACTAGATTGATTTAAACTGAAGATGGAGAAAGAAGAAGAGAAAAATGTGGCTAATTAGATCTTTCATTATTTTAAGAACAGAAATTGGGTAGTAAGAATAAATGAAGAAGACGTAATTTTTTAAAACGTTAGGTTAAATGATGCCGTTGGGAATTTGGGATGATATATAGCAACCTATAGAAATGATGATAATCCCCCTCAAGCATGCATTCAAATTCATTAGGTGCAAGGACAGATCCAGGATTTCGAGTCAAGGGGGCAAAATTTTTTGGTTATCGCAGGGGTAAAAAAATCACTAGTGTAACGGGGCATTTTTCATTTTTTTTGCTAGTGTAGCGATGCGAAAATTTTTCACTAGTGTAAGATTTTGCGGCTATTTTTATTCAAAACAATTCATTAATACATACCTGACGATATTTCAATCTATATATTACATTCAATTCTAAGATTAGACAATGGCAAAAAACTTTAATTTATAATTGAAGTGCTCAAGAAAAAGTATTGATACATTATAACATCAGAAATTGCAAATCAAAGGAAACAATTTTAAAATAAAAAAGATATATAATATTTTATTTGAAGATAAAGAGTTTAACATGTACACATTCACCAATACTTTTGAAATAACTTCTACATTGTTAAACTATATGAGTTTTATAGAAATAAAGATTTGATTTTTGAATTACATTTTTTGTTTACAAAGGAGGGGTTCATGAGTCACGAGAAGTTTTCTTAATACTACAATAGTACGTATGAGATTATTATTTTTAGAATAATATTATATTGCAAGTTCAAATATATAGTGCATATTTTTTTTTTTGATAGAATATATATAGTGCATATTTATTATATTTGTAATAAAGCTAAAATAAGTTAAAGTTTATTATATATGCAATAAAGTATTTTTAGAATGTAAGATGTAAATGACTTGGTAATTTATTGTCAATAAACATTCGTATTTTGGATTCACTTCACATGATCTAAAAATTGTGTAACCGGTGTTTTTGGTATTTAATATCTTTTGATAGTTTACAAAATCGAGTACTAGTTATCTTATAAAGATAATTAAACATTACAAAACTAAGAATTTTTATGTAATAAGTATCCTCAATATTAAACAATGACTTGTTCTATAGTATAATTTATTTATTTAAGTTATATAAATTATTTTAGATGTTATGTATAACTATATTAATTTCGAAAATTAAAAGTTAAGGGGGGCGAATCTAATTAAAGTATTACATATGTAGTAGAAAATTTTGAAAGTTCAAGGGGGCGGTCGCCCCCGCGTCTCCCTTTAGATCCGTCCCTCATTAGGTGAATTCATAGAGTGATTTTTTGGGATTTTTTTATTTTTTTTTAACATGATTAATATAATTAATGATATGGTCCGTGATCAATGATTACTACTAAATTGTAAATTGGTTTCTTCATGTTGTCGGGGACAGGGTATCTTGATTAACGGCCAGTTCCCTGGACCTGAGATTAACGTTGTTACTAATGACAACGTTATTGTAAATGTGTTCAATAAGCTGGACGAGCCTATACTTCTCACATGGTGAGTGCTATATTGGTTTTACTTAGAAGTCTTGTACATTTGTTATTTACATAACATCTAACCTTCAATATCTGTTGGAAAGGTGAGAATATTTCAAATGAATAAAATATTATTTGAGGAGAACTTTAAGATCTTTAATTTCTTTATCTGATATTATTTTAAATCAACTACACAATTCACATATTTTCAAATGATTACGTTAGACATTTATTATCATGTCCAATTACTTGATGAAGTTTTCAAACGTTTAAAAATACTTCACATTTAATTGTGGGCATTGAATTGAGCATTTACTTTCTAGAGTTATCAACATAGGAGCAAATTAACCATTGTCATTTATTTAACATGTAAAACGTTATGTTTTGTCCTTGAGTATATATTTGGTGCTTTGGAATTGTAAACATAACATGGGAGAGAAGGATTTCAAAATATGCTTCGTCACATATATTTGTTCTTACGAAAATGTATATACATATACAGATATATATATATATATGGGAAGAGGGCTATCACCTGAAAAATCAAGAAGTGATCATAATACTCTTCAAACAAATACATCTTTATTACTGGGTTTATATACTATTTTCTTCTCGTTAGTTCTGGTACCGGTTTTATAACCGAAGGGCTCGTTATATCTTGGGGGAAATTTCCGTACGCCGGAAATTATTCCTTAGGACAGCGTCTGACGCGTCTCGAGTCACTAATATACGCTTAGTTCTTTTTAGTGATTATTTTGCAGGTTAATTAGCGGAGCTAGATGGTCAACGAGGTCAACTTAGGAGCAGCACGGTCAACAAGTTGATTTTGAAAGGATAGAGCCAACAATCTAAGGAATTATGGCGGATAAAGATTACACCTATGGAATTATCAACGTGTGTGAAACTCTCCTTGAATAGAGACAAGCAATGAAAATTCTAGCTCTCACTAAATGATGAAATTTGCGGTACGTGTTTATAACTATTCCCGTTATAAATATTCTTTCTCAAAAAGTATTCTTGGTAATTTTATTTACCCAACTCTATCGTATGTGTATATGTGGTGTGTATATATATTTACATCTATTTGGGCATAGAATAGTTTTTTTTGCCTTCTCAAATTCTTGGGGCAGAAGATTGGTTTTCTCCTAGTTTTTCATTTGTGTATACGGAGTATAAGTTAGAAGTCTATTGTGATCTATAGTTTCTAAACAATTGTAGGTTTGATTCTTACACAAGGAAAAAAAAAATTATATGCTACTGCACATGATTAGATTTAACGGTCCGGCGATCCGGTATTTAGTATCTTATTATGGTTGTTTTAACTTTGACTGAGTTTAAAAGTGAAAAAGATGGAGCTTATTGTGTATACATGATCTCCTACGTTGGGATATGCTTGGAAATGATTGACTTTATATTGTACCATATACTTCGTATATCCTGGACTTTTTTGTGATATATTTTTCATCATGTGATAAGTCTTTGCATCTAATTTTATATATTGAAAATGTGGGGTATTTGAGGTACAATAATTATTGTGCATGTGTGCGGTGTGCTTGTGCTTTTAGATGCGTCGTACTTGTATATTATACTGGGTATTAATTGATTTGTGGTGAAATTCAAAAAATTGTGGATGCATATATTATGTGTCACTTTTTATTATTAATTGAGTGCGAAGATATGTTGAATTGGATTTAGGAATAATTTTGTAGTATGATGTTGTTCATTTTATAGAAATTTATCTTGATGCTCAAAGTGTGAATCCATTAAACTTAACACACTGTGTGAGATCCGGCAAAATTGTCGGAAGATTGAGATGAAATCGAAAACACAAAAATGTATTTGGTGAGCTAAACCATTGTATTAAAGAAATACAATGATGGAATAATTTATTGAGAATTATCCATTGTATCATTACGATACAATGATGTTATATATATTTTATAAAGTTTTCCGTTGTACTAAATGAGTATAACGATGACACATTTTATCAAGAATTATCCGTTGTACTGGAGTGATACGACGATGTTATATTTGAGTATTATCCTTCGTACTATAATGGTATGATGATGTTACATACATTATATTGATGATTTTTATATACACTAAATTTTAATATGTTTTTTAAATTTAAAGGTGAGCTTTGGTAAAATCTTGGTGTGCAAATAAAATTTGAGCTAGAAATTATCTTCATAAAACAGATATCATTGAATTTTAGAAGAGCTATGCACTTGGTTTGGAATAATTAAAATTGTGGGGGTGCTGTGCTAAACTTTTACTACCTATCTCAGTGAGTAAAAAAAATAAGTTTTGTAACTTTTGGATGCTTTTACATAATATGAAATAGTGGAGCATATATACAATTTTCTTAAATTGAAGAATTAATCTGCTAGTATGCAATACTTTAAACTATAATGTCTTTATGATTAAAGTGATAATTTTTTTTTAAAAAAAATAATTGTTTATACATTAAGTGGTGCATTGGTGATTATTTGTTGCTGGGATTTTTTATATGCTTATTTCAGTAGCTATATTGAGTTGATATATAAATATAATAAAAGTAATTTTGAGTATTAAAGTCACAAGGATGGATGTCGGTATTTCACTATCATTATATTGAGAATCTTCTTAAGAAGTTTGACATTTCAATGTTAAAAAGTGAATATCCCTTATGACTTTGACATAAATAAATAAAAAGTGTGAGTGTGTTACAATTAAATGTGTGTGACATTTCATAATTTTAATAGGATGGAATTGAAGATTGAGCCAATGTATGAAATCCAAATGTGATGGTTGGGATACCTTAAGTTATTGAGATATTGGAGAGGTATTATTAATTATGGTTCAGATTATCCGTTGTAATATATTGATACAACGATGATATGTTTAATTGAGAAATATCCGTTGTACTAGAAAGGTACAACGAGGTTATATAAGAGAATTGTCCATTGTACTATAATGATACAATAGTGATATATATTTCATTGAGAATTATCCGTTAGGATATAACATATTAGTGAAATTATCCAATGTATAAAAGTGTCACATCGATGTTATATTTTGTTGAGAGTTATCTGTTGTATTGCCGGAATACAACGACGTCTTTTGAGTCGACTCACATGAGATAAAATTGTGGATATCCGTTCACCCTTAAACGTGGTGCAATGATGTTTGAGAATGGAATTATTCCATTAATTTTGTGAAATTAAAAGGAATTAGCTACTCCTTTTGATGGAATCCCTAGGACGTTAAATGATAAATTTAAACATCGAGGGAAATGAACTAATGTCATTTTGACAACAAATAGGGATGGGAACCCAACTTGTGTGATTGGAGATCCCAAGAAGCAAGTTCAAATGGGTAATAACAAGTCTTCTATTTGTTCTGCTGGCCTTGTAAAATGTTCATTTCTATGGTGTGGAAGGTTAGACTGCATTTCTTTGTGAGGTTGAGCTAAAACTCTTAATGATGGTCATAGCCCTTACGGGTGATGTGTTAAGTGCTGGACACACTTGATGAGGTTACCTATATGAGCACTACAAGAAAAAGGCTTATTTGCGAAGGGAAAAGTGGTCGCAAAAACAAGTTAAATGGTCGCTCGCTAATAACTATTTGCGACTGAAAAAGCTGGTCGCATAGTCGTCCCTATTGGCTTGGCCGCAAAAGCTCTTTTGCGACTGGAAAAACAAGTCGGTCGCTAAAACTTTTTGAGACCACTTAAAATCCAGCCACTAATGATACTATTTGAGACTAGTTATTATGAGTAATTGCGACCACTTTCCCTTCGCTAAATTAAGTTCCAAATACATTAATTAATACCCGCGACAACCTCATTGGACCATTTGTGACCATTTTCCCTTCCCTATTACTCCATAGAAATGAGTATTTAATATTATATTAACATAATATAATATACGAAGTACCAATTAATGTTTTGCAGAGATCCAAAAAGACATAATAGAAAATTGCTAACGGTTTTATATTTAATCATTAGCATCTCACTTCAAAACAAATAAATAAGCATTAAAATATTCAATCATCAATTTTATATTCAACTTATCAAGTGTCTAAGCTAAAAAAACGTATCTAAAATGCATATACAAAAAATATGCAGTAGCTGAACAATGCAGCACCAAATAGCTCTTGATTTTAATCTTTGTTTCCTTGACCTTGTACTCTTGTAGCATCTCTTTAATCTTGACTTTTCATGCATCTGTTTTCTTCTTCTGCTACATGCAACTTGAATACCATTTCAAAAAAAATTCTGCCCATATAGACAAAACAGAATGTTGAAGTCTTAATAACAAAATATCTGAATACAAATAAATAGGCACAATAACAGATAAAAATACAATTAATGTGATAAATTAGCCTACTATTTACATAGTCAAAATTGCTGCTATTTACCCTCCTAGTGTGAAGTCTACGAGCCTTTTCCCTTTGTCTAAATACACTGTGTGGGTGAGTACCAATAATAGATTGAGGTGGCTGCAAAACAAATTAAGAAAACCACAGTTAGTCCACTGGATCAAAAGATTGCAATATTAAACAACATGTAGACTAAAACAAAACAAATCAATGTGTTGCTGAGGGGAAACAAGCAACAGGTGCTGAAGAACAAATTGTATTGAACAAAATTATCAGAAAAGAAACAATTTTGATTTAAATAGAGTCTAGGGTCCACACACAACCCAACAAGATATGAATGAATAGAAATTCATCACTCAGAAACTAAAAGCAGATAAAATATCTAAACAAACGATATTCAATATCATTGCGCCGAAGAATGGGTTTCTGCCGTCATATCTTAGGAGTAAAACTATTCCTATATTATAAAGAGAGTACCATTTAGGGTGAGCAGACATTTAGAGTGAGCAGACTTACAACTCCGAAATAGAGACCAAGAAGGATGCCTTTGTGGAAGAAACCATTGAAGAGTAGGGTGATGTCCAGGAGGGTGATGTCCAGGGTAGTGCATTTTTATGGCAAATACATCATTCAGCTATGAAATGAAGCATCTATACCCGTAGTATAGTCCCAAGAAGGCGTTCCAAATCCTCCAACTAAAAGGATCAAAAGAGAAGCATAAATTCAGCAAATATATGTGCAAACTGAAGTCACATAAGCAGAAAATAATATTACAAAATTAGGCCAAAAAGCAACAATAATAAGCATTAGTAAAGCAGGCTTAAAAGCAGAATAAGTGCAGCAATGATGTTCTGAGCACAACAAAATTTAAGTAATTTAAAAGAAACAAATGTCAAGTAAAGTAGTTTAATTAAAAATAGCAACTATACCGGATTCCAAACTGCAGCTTTCATGCAACGTAGCAAATTTTTAAGGCATCACAGTGCTATTAGAGAGCATTGACCTCATTCCTTGCCCAAGTCCTGAAGTCCCCTGCCTAGCATGCCTAGTTTAACGAATATTTGACTTCATAGACTTTGCAATTCCAAGTCTATTTAGATCCATTATGACCTGAGAATATATAAAAACCTTATAATTTGCGAGTCTTAATATATCAAACCTTATTTTGAATTGAACTCCTCACTGATTGTACTTCAAACTGCATCTCTAAATCCCGATTAGCAGTTCAGAATAAATTTTGGCAGATTTTATATTGTACTGTAAGAAATTAAAGATTATAAGAAATAGTTGTAGATAAGCTAAATTACAGGAATCTGTAACATATTATTGCTGAGAAATGAATGAAATAGAACTGACCAGAAGAATTTATGCTGCCTACTTAGTAGAAGAAACAAATTTCTGGAAAGCAGCCTTCAATTCTTCCTTTGAACGACGAAGGATTCTCAACTTCTTTCCTTCACAGAAGGGATTCTCAGAAGACGAAACTCATTTCTATCGGAGAGAAGAAAGTATCTTAGGAGGCGTACGGCGCTGCCATTTACGTTTCTATCGGAGGAGAGATGCAATTCATATAGTAGGCGGCGGCGAGAAGATGGTTTTATACGGAGCTGCTATGTCTTTCGCAAATTCGCAGACGGTTTCATTCTTCTGAGTTGCTATCGGAGAGGCTAGGGTTTCAAGTAATGAAAAATGAAAGAGTAATGGGGTAGTGGCCTCACTGGCCTGAGCCTCTGAGCGCGTATATTATTTTGGAGCACCGCCAAACGGATTTCGAATTTTCGATGGATATTTTTAGACGAGCGCCAATAATACACACTTTCAGCGACCGGATTTAAATGGATTAGCGAAGGGATATTAATACGGTTTCAAATATAAAATTGTTTTTTATACATTTGCGACTACATAACAAAGTGGTCGCTATTAATATACATGTTGCAACCATATTTGACGTCCGTCGCAAATGGGTCGTCGCAAAAAGTCAATTTTCTTGTAGTGGAGTGAGAGGTGGGACCGCTTCCATGAAGCATTGACAATGCTTCTAGAGCACTCAAGAAAACCAAGCACGCGCACGACCTAGAGGCGCACAACGGCGTTAACGACGAGAAAGGTGGGGGTGAATAATGATCCCCTAAGACACTGACTTACCAAAGTAGATTATTGGTTCATACAAACTATACGTTTCACCAATAAACTCGGTATTTAAAGACTTAGGAGTCTAGGTCTGGTTCAAGTCTATGAACACCAGATTGAAAAACCTCACCCCATATATGAAACCCAGTAAGGAATTTTTATTTTTAATAAATAGAATATTCATTCGAAATATGTGGGGGATTGTTGGAAAGTTGAGAATATTTCAAATGAATAAAATATTATTTGAGGAGAACTTTAAGATCTTTCTTTATCTGATATTATTTTAAATCAACTATACAATTCACATATTTTCAAATGATTACGTTAGACATTTATTATCATGTCCAATTACTTGATGAAGTTTTCAAACGTTTAAAATACTTCACATTTAATTGTGGGCATTGAATTGAGCATTTACTTTCTGGAGTTATCAACATAGGAGCAAATTAACCATTGTCATTTATTTAACATGTAAAACGTTATGTTTTGTCCTTGAGTATATATTTGGTGCTTTGGAATTGTAAACATAACATGGGAGAGAAGGATTTCAAAATATGCTTCGTCACATATATTTGTTATTACGAAAATGTATATATATATATATATATATATATGGGAAGAGGACTATCACCTGAAAAATCAAGAAGTGATCATAATATTCTTCAAACAAATACATCTTTATTACTGGGTTTATATACTATTTTCTTCTCGTTAGTTCTGGTACCGGTTTTATAACCGAAGGGCTCGTTATATCTTGGGGGAAATTTCCGTACGCCGGAAATTATTCCTTAGGACAGCGTCTGACGCGTCTCGAGTCACTAATATACGCTTAGTTCTTTTTAGTGATTATTTTGCAGGTTAATTAGCGGAGCTAGATGGTCAACGAGGTCAACTTAGGAGCAGCACGGTCAACACGTTGATTTTGAAAGGATAGAGCCAACAATATCTTGGAATGATGATAAATTTATTATTCGATGGATCATAAGATGTTAAATATTTGTTTCACACTGAAAAGCTATAAACAATAAAACATTACGTAGTATATAAGATTTTGAGATATTCTTCCTACAAGGTTGACCTTTTAGGATAGAAATACAGGTCTTAATATGGTATCTGAGTGAAATCCGGTTGTGATTTGATAGGTTAGCACTCATGACTACTCGTGATTAAGGGTAGTTTGATGAGGATATGTTTGGCCGCCTATTTATACATCCCGATATTGTCCAGTCCGTTTCGGAGTGAGAGGACATGCTAAAGTATTTGTCTCACTTCAAAAAGTTAGAAAATAATAAAACGTTATATAAGACTTTGTCTATCAGGTTGACCTTTTAGAATGATATCATGAGTCTTAACAAAACCCTAATAGTGTGACTCATATATGATAAATTTGTTTATAAGTTAAGTTATCAGTTAGATAATGGTTTTTTCATGTGCCATTATCTTTGTTAAGTTTCAACTTATTAGTCTTTAGTCTTACAACTTTTTTTATCCTGGCCATCGGGAAATGAAAAAAATTACTCGTAAAAATCAGGAACGGAATTAAACAGAGGAAAAGCTCATGGACGGATGGAGTTCTGGGGACAAATTGCCCAATTCTCCCAAACACAAATTGGACATATAACATACAAATGAAAGACCAGATTGGGACTTACACATATTTCCTCTCTACCCAATTGCACAAAGCAGCCGGCAGTTTTGGCGCCCTAAACATCATTCGTAGAGACGTTATTCCACTTCCCTACCCGGAACCTTCTGGTAACTTCACTATGCTTGTCACCGATTGGTGGAACACTGATCACAAGGTTGGTTATATTTTTGTCCCACACTCAAGAACCTAGAAATGATTGAATTGAATGAATGGTTAAATATATACTCTTACAATTCTAAAAGTTAGCATCTCCCTACCAAAAAAATTTGGTCAATTTGTAATTATAAATTTTATACTTTTTTGAAATATTTTTTAGTAAACAATATGGTTATACTATCATCTATATCGCATTAATTGCAACATTATAAATTGCACACTATTCATGTACTTTACTTTGACTACATTTTATTTATAATGTATGTGAATTATTATTTTTGAAAAATATTGTTGAATTCGCCTCGTCATTAAAAAAGTTTCATAATCTGATTTTTAATAATTTTTTACTAATACAGAATTAATATAAATATAATGACGGTCAAATTTGTGCATTGGAAAACGTGAATGTTGCAACAAAAAAAGAATGGAGAAAGTATAATTTTCATATTTTAAATAATGTTGTATTAAAAAATATCATTGGTCAAACTTAGGATGTTTTTACTTGGACTGTAATTTGCTGGTCTGGTCTGGTCTGAACTGGTCTGGTAAGGTCTGGTAAGGTCTGGTTTCTTTGTATTTTTATAACTATCCATGTCTGGTCTGGTCTGGTCTGAACTGGTCTGGTCTGGTCTGGACTGGTCTGGTCTGGGACAAATTACAGTCCAAGTAAAAACATCCTTAACCAGCATTGACCAAGAAAAGTTAAATTGAACAAATTTTTTTGGGACAGAGAGAGTAATTTTAAAACTCTTTCCAATTTTGTATATATATATATATATAAAGTTAAATTACACACACATACTTTTCCATTCATATCTTTAATGGTCATTTTACGTGTTAACAATTATAGTATTACCTAGTATGATTCTTCTAGCAATCATACTAGGTAATACAATCAACTGAGTCACGAGAATTGTGTATTTTTACACAATATAAGGTGATAATATGAGACTTGTTACACAATATCTATCATACCGGAAACCCAACATGATCGTGATATAGTATACACAGTATTGGTGCTTATAAAACAGTTTCTCAATCGTTGATACTCATATACCAAATAATGAGTATAGAGCCAAGTGGCTTAATATACATTATTAATCATGACTTGTATATTACAAGTGTATTAAACGGAGTCTAATACTTGACTCCGTTTAGTCGATATAAAATGTCGATTGTACAAATCTTGTCAAAAGTTGTTGATTCCCTAAATACAAGCCTCAAATTTTGAAAGGCTTACAATTTGTATTGAATTTAAATTAGGACTTCGTGGATGTATTATATTCACTAAGATCATACACACGTTTTGATCTCAAGTCCTAAATCTTCGTATGTTTAGAACGTTGGATGAAGATTGACTTAAATTTTGTACACGACTCACATAAGTGAATGCGCATCCGAAATAATTGGTTACACCGACAGTGTGCGAAACATGATAAATTTACACGGATAATGAAATTGAATTTTTATGTATAGAACATGCAAGTCCTAAATCTCCGATGTATAGTTGTTAATCTTTGGTGTAACCCGAATGGTTACACCAAAGATTACAATGATACGGTTTTATTGTAATAAAACCACGACTTGCATTAGTGTATTTACTCAAGTCTCGAAATAACCGGTAAATGAACCCATAAATGGGTCATTTTTGGGAATTGTATGTTTTTTCAGTCGGACTGTGTAAACGGTCCTAATGAGATTGTATCGGTTAATAATCCGATGACAATTTTCAATAGTTTATTCAGTGGATCTCTTATTGAATACAAGCCACTGGAGACTTGTAGATCATAGTAAATTTTTCAATAGTATCTCTATTGAAATACTATTATGGATATATATTAGTCCAACTTCAATTGTGATCTTAAATTATGAGTTTAACATATGTTTATTAGTCAACCAATGTGTAAATGATCTCATACATTTAGAAATCTCAAAAGATGTGATTAATGTAACCCATGTTCGTGTATGTTTTTCTCATACACGAACATGGGTTGTTCGTGTATGAGAAACAACACGATTCTCAATGACTATATAATGATTGATAACAATATTCAATATTATTGGGCATATATTAGATCTCCAGTAATTCATGTATATTTACATCAAATATAAATTAGTATTCCTTTGTATATAGTCTGAGTAATTGTGTATACGTTATATACATGTGTATACATAATATATTCTATTTTATAACCGAATATATGATCTCCGATAGTTAAGTCGGGTATTGAAATTTATAAACAAATATGGTCTATAAATATATGTTGAGTATGTGGTTTTGTTGATGACTAACCATATAGGTGGAGAATCGCTCCAGTTTCATAAGGAGCTAAGGATAGAACTAACCATGCAGGTGTACTAACACGAGTTCTTGACAGAACTATAGATGAAACTCATATGCGTTCTGAGCGAATCATTTATGAAAGTGAAAAACGTGCATGCATGATTTACGTAACAATATTTGAATGATTTACGATTTAGGAGAGAATCTCCACTTGCATGATTTACGATTTAGGCTTGCATGAATATATTGTCCTTTATAAACTAACTTTTTATCTAAGTCTTTATGGGAAGTGGTGATCTTTAGTTAAAGGAAAGTTTCCTTTGATGAAATACTCGAATATTCTTGCCACCTTTACATTAGTTGACCGGATCATGTTATATGGAGATATAAAAGGGTTTTCTTACTAATCATATCAAATGGGATATTTTCGGTTGATTGCCTAAGCATGTGGGTTGACCGATCAAGGCCTAATTGCTTACCATAATCAGCCTTTAGTAATTAATCATTTGATTAGATATTTTGAATAGTGGTGTCTAAATATGACCCGATTGATCTCACAATAGGCAAGTAAATTGGTACCACTCTTTAGGCTGCTGAATAAGTTACTCTCCATAATAAACATGCTCGATAATTCAAAAATGCTTGAAGTCTTTTGATTATGACTAACGAATGTTTTTAGCTCCAAATATGACAAGTGATAAATAAGGAAAGAAATTCAAAATTCATTATAGCAAGGAAAGGAGCCAACGTTTATCAAAAGGAGAGCTATATATACACACAAGATGGTGGTTCATTCAAGGAGTTCGAGAAGAAAGAGATTAAAAGAATAATCACTCAAGAGAAAAGATCAAGTCACTCAAGAGAAAAGATCAAGTCCATAGCACCTGAAACTGCCTACACGGAGTTCTAGATAGAGTTTTTCTTTTCCCTTTCATATTGTACTTGGAATATTGAGGCTTAATTGGCTAGAGTAGCTGCCTCGGGCTAAGTGTGTGTGAGAGCTTTGTGATAAAGCTGAGAGGCTCTCTACCCGCAAGGTAGAGATGCATAACTCTTCCTAGAGAGGATAGAGTTGGGGAGGCTCAAGGGTAGATTAGGAGAATCACTCTTGTAACTCTTTCAAAGGCTTGTTTAGTGAAGTTGTTTAAAATTCCTCCGAGGGAGGTCGAGGTTTTTTAATCCCTTTGAGCAAAGGGATTTTTCCTCGTTAAATTCTTGTGCACTTTACTATTTCGCAATTCCCTTGATCCCACACTAGAACTCGGCGAAAAACTGCCACGGTTCCACACACACACAATTCACCCCCCTCTTGTGTTGCTAACCGTTTTCATCAATATGAGTTAAACAAAATTATATAGAGGTGATAAACCTTTATGCTCTCAAATAAATCCCAATCGGATACAATCAAGATTTTGAATTATCTAAGTATTGATCTCAAAATACTTAAGTGTAATGTTCGGGTTGTGTTGACTTCGTACATTCTCTCCATACGAGATAATGTATACAATACACCTAATTTGTTCTCTATATTTACAAGGTATAGAAACACTCGCCAATATACAAGTGATATAGACTATATACTGTCCAAATTTATACAGTTTAACAAGATATAGGTTAAACTAAGTATGTAAACACTATTATGTTTTACCCATAGTATTTGATAAGTAGTTAGAATTCTATGTTTTGAGATCAATTTTGGAGTGTATACACAAGTGAAAAAAACATACAAGTCTGAAATTACAATGTGTTGGGATTTTTCATAGGGGTTGCAATGAGTCCCTATGGATAATTGCAATCATACAAGAAATGACTTTACATTTAAGTCAAAATTATTAAATGTAAGTTAATAATAGTGTATTTTTTCCTAATTTACCAATAATTTACTTCCCATTATAATTGTGAGTATTACCATTAATTTCACTCAAATATATTTGGTTGATGTATATTTTTGAATTAATGATCGTGCTACATTTGGACATAATATCCCCGTATACATGGGGATATTATCTTATGCAAAAATAAGCCTGAAAACACTGGAGACTGAGTTGAAAATATGTAAATGTGACTCATATGATAGGGTTTATCATATGAGTCACATTTACATAATACTTATGTGGTGTTATTGTCATACAAATGATATACTCACTTTATCTGTACAAACTTAAATGTATCATACTGATATGAATATCTAGTATAAATAACGATTTATTGCAACTCAGGCTTGTCAACCGAGTAATGATAGTCTCTTATGATTTGACCAACTGGGTAACAATTTATTACTATGTTTTCTTGTAATTTACACACAATGTCTAAATTAAGTTGATATTCATACAATATCAGTGAATACACACAGTCTTGTGTACTGGTGATCCAGATAGTATTCTCATACTATCTCGACTCCCGGTAATATTCAATAATATTGAGTGGAGACATGGGTATTATATTCATATGGGTTATAACAGTGGCGTATCCAGAAACTTTGGTGAGTGGGGGCAAACTTGACTACAATTTAGTCTCATATTTCACAAATAAAAAATCACATTATTAATATTGTTTGATTAAATTTAGTTTATAATATCTATGTACAAGTATGAAAAAGAAGAAGATTAATTTATATTACGGGTGTGTAAAGATGTAATTGCAAATAAAATTTAATAAATTTACCTAAATATAAGTTAAACAGTCTTAAACATAACATAATTTAGTGAATTTTTTAGCCTTTCATTCTTTTAATATTAAAGAAAACACTTCTAATCCTATTTTAGAATTTTTTTTCTACATTT